AACATCGCGAAAATAGCGCTTTATAAACTAATTGATTGATTATGAAAAGTCAAAATAATGTAAATCGTTACATTACTACAAAAATTCACTTTTCATCGTATTTGAAAACTTCCGGGGCCACAGAAAATAATGAATAAAGTTTTCTTGTTGGGGCTGTGTTTTTCATTTAATGGAGATAAATTATCTTTGATAAAATTTATCCATTTAACAATTAATTTAATATAATTATTTAAAAGTTTTCTGTTCGGACATATTACATTTTTAAGATACTAACTCAACTTACTAATAAAATTCTTCAGTGCTAATCAGTCCTTTCTTACTTCTTTGTTTTTTAGTTGGCTAAATAAAGAATTAAAGAGTAGTTAAAAAACAATAGTTTTATTATTGATCTATTCCACTATTTGATCATATCTTTATATATTGCTGTTGGTTTGATTTGCTTTTAAATTAGTTTGGGGATAGATAACTAGAGTAAGAGTAAAGAAAAACCTAGCTAGACTAAAGAAAAAGCCTCTTGGGCAGTTTTTGTGGTCTGTACTGTTGTTGTTCAGTGACTGTTTGGATTGTTGATTCCATATAAATAAATCAACGAAGACTCCATTTAGAATTTAAAAGCTGCTGATCATTGGCTGACATTTTTCAATAAATAGTTACAAAACACTCATATAGGATAAACAGTTGTAGTCGATTTGCTAACCAATTATTTAGTTTATTGAATTTAGTTAACTCCGTCAAATAAAAATGGCCTGTTTAGCAAGGCTGAAAGATGACGCAAAGTTTCTTGAAAAGACATTCCCACGTTCTCATATGAGGTTTCAAGTTTTGTCGGCCAACGTTGATGAAGTTTCCTGCTGTTTCTTACCCCCAAAAGATAGTGGCGACAGGGCAGACAATGGGCGGATCGTATTAACTGCTAACTTTCTCGTTAGTACTTTTGGCGATAAGATGACAAAAAACTGATAAATAATTAGAATATATCTTTGAAACGAAGTAGACAATAGTTTAATAATTAAATTCAATTTCAATAATTGTCTAACTTTAGGAGACGTACCCCCAGTCAGCCCCAATCTGGTTCACGGAATCCGAAGAGTCGAGCATGTCGGAAATTTTTGAAAAACTTTCTGAGACTTCTAAACAAAACAACACTGTCTGTTCCTTATTTTGTTTCTAATTTTAGTTGTAAACTTAATTTAATTTATTTTGCGACTTTTTTAATTAGTGGCTTTTGAAAATTATATACATTTGCTGAGGTATTAAAATACTGATAAATATTTATTATTTATTTATTAAATATCACTAATTTATTTGTTTCAAATCCACTAATCTTAGATGCTTTCATTTTCATTCATTGTATGTGTAAATTATATTTCATATAATTATCTATCTACTTCTATTCTGTGCTTGTAAATTAGGTTTCATTCTTTGGTATCAACTTATATATAAATGCAAATAGCACGTGGTCATATTTTATTATTGCACGTGGTAATATTTTATTATTGTTGGCTTAGTAAACTATCCTGGAGGAATTTAATTTTTCTATTTTAGGTTGGTTATTCATTTATAATTTCTGTAATATTTCATATTGTTTCAATTGATTTTATTTATGTTCTTTATTCACTCATTTGGATTTTCTATTTTAGATTAATAAATCAGGTTATTCGAAAGCAAACTTATAAATTAAATCCCAGGATCGTTTACAAAGCCAACAATAATAAAATATGACCACGAGCTATTTGCATTTATATATAAGATGATACCAAAGTAATGGAACCTAATTTACAAGCACAGAATAGAAATAGATAGATAATTATATGAAATATAATTTACATATGCTTATATATTTATGTAAATATATGTATGTATTTTTGTTTGTGTGTGTGCGTGTGTGTATGTCTGTAGGTATGTATAACTCTGTTATTTATTTGTTACTTACTCCACTTTTTCTCACACGACAGATATGCAAACAGATTAGGATATTAGTAACGGAGTTGTGCAAAAAATTCAGAACGCCTCCTCCGGAAGAGATACAACTAATAGACGAATACCTCAAGAGCATAGTCAGTTAAATTTTTTAATTACCCTTTAAAGTTATTTTTTATTCTTTGTTTTTTTTTAAATTTTTATTTGGTATTCGTTATTCTTGTAATTATAATAATTTATTCGTAAGGGTGACTCCATGGTTGCGGAGGCAGACGATGAAGATGCCGACGGCACTGATGAATTTCATTACGAGATGGATCACTGGTTGGAATAGATGGATGGATGAGTGGATAGATGGATATATAGATGGATGAATGGGTGGATGGATGACTAGAGGAATTGATGGTTATACAGTGGATGAATAGATGATTGAATTAAATAGATATTAAATGGATACTAGAATGGATGGCAGAAAGATGGATGGACGGTTGGATAGATGGGTAAACGGATGAATGGTTAAATGATTGTATTGATGAGAGGTAGTTAAATGGATGGATGGGTTGATAGAATGATGAATGTTGATGGATGGATAATTAAATGAATGGATGAGTTTCGTTGTGAAATGAATCACTGGTTTGTATCATTTGAATGAATGCCATGAATGACTGCATGGATAAACTATTTAGATTAATGGATGGAATAAATAGTTGGTATCATTTGGATGAATGAATGAATGAATGAATGAATGAATGAATGAATGAATGAATGAATGAATGAGTGAATGAATGGGTGAATGAATGGGTGAATGAATGGTTTGATGAATGAGTGATTGAATTTTGCTATTCAGCCAATCAAATTTGATTAAAATGACCTTGGGCCATCCAAGATTAGTTTTTTAACCTATAGAACTTGAATGAATATTTTGAATATTACCCTCTAGCCAATCATGTTTCTCGTTTGCATTTCCACCAATCTAGTCAGTTGGTGTAAAAATATTTCACCCCCTGACCTCAGCAGACACGAAAAACTACTAGAAAATTTTGAAAAATAAATTTTTTTTCATAAAAAAACGTTTATAAGAGGACTTTTTGGGGCCAACAAGTGAATGATTGTATTGATGAGAGGTAGTTAAATGGATAAACTGAATAATGAAAAAACTTTAACCGACCGCACTGATCATTTTAGTTAGACAGTCATTAAGTTTCGACAAATGTCAAATTGTTGCTATAAATATGACCAATGAGGTTATTTGTTTACATCCAGTGAGACCCAATCAATAGAGGACATGACTGGCATAGAGAAAGCCAACCTCGAAATTCTTGAAAGACTCAAACAAACTCAGAGGCAAGATCATGAAAAAGTGAGTGGAACCTTTTTCTTCATTCATTCATTCGTTCGTTCAATCATTCATTCGTCCATTCGTTCGTTCATTCATTCGTTCATTCATTTATTCATTCATTTTTTTAATAGTTATTTCATTTATTCGTTCATTCACTCAAAAAAAATTGGTGGAACTTTTTCATTCATTCATTCGTTCATTCGTTTGTTTGTCCATTTATTCATTTATACATACAGTCTACTCGTCAATCCATTCTTTCATCCATCTATCTACCCATCCATCCATTCATCTTTCCACCCATCCATCCATCTATCCATGAAGGGATCAGTATCAGGATCTGTTCAAGCCACAGATAGGCTGATGAAAGAGTTAAAAGAAATATATAAATCTCAAAGTTTCAAACAAGGCACGTGTTTGTGTGTATTTGTGTGTGTGGTTGTTTTGTGTGTATGTGTGTGTTTGTTCGTGTATGTATGTGTGTGTGTGTGTGTGTGTGCGTATGTATGTATGTATGTGTGTTTGTTTGTGTGTGTATATGTGGTGTAAAGGGGTATATGCCAAGGTACCTGCCATTCGATTCGATCACCACAGGGGACCCACACCCTCTCATGTGCAATGTGTGGTGTAATGAGTTAGGAATGTTTTACGTGTGTGTTTACATGCACTGGGTGTCTGTTTGCTGTTGTTGTTGCTGCTGCTGCTGTTGTTGTTGTTGCTGTTGTTGTTGTTGTTGTTGCTTCTGGAAAATGTTGGAAACTGAATTGCAGTAACAGTAATTGCAATAATAATAATAATAATAATAATAATAATAATAATAATAATAATAATAATATTAACAATGATGATAATAATTATAACAACAACAACAATAATAATAATTATTATTAAAGTATTATTGAATATGATGCAGGTTTCTACTCTATAGAGTTGGTACACGATAGCCTCTACGATTGGAACATCAAATTATACAAGTCACTTTTTTTTAATTATGAATAAAAATTATAGTTGTAATTAACAATAATAATTTTAATTATTATTGTTGATGTTGTTGTCGCAGTAATTAAAAATTTTTATAATTATTATTATTATTATTTAAAGTTTTCATTATTTGACTGTAACTAATTGAACTTTTTTTTATTAAAATAAAACTTGAGGGTTAAATCTGCCAACTGGTTGATTGAATGGTGGATTGACTGAATGGTTGATTCATAGGTAGATAGATAAATTGATTGATTGATTGATTGATTGATTGATTGATTGATTGATTAGTAGATCCACAAATTGATTGATTGGTTGACTTGACTGGTTGATTAATTGATTGACCAAGTGAGTTATTGATTGATTGATTAGTAGTTAGACAAATTGATTGATTGGTTGGTTGACTGGTTGATTAATTGATTGATCAAGCGAGCGATTGATTGATTAATTGGTTGATTGATTAATTGATATTCATAATATGTATAACAATAATTTATAATAATTTATAATTATCGTGACGGTAATTAGCACTTCTGGTAAACTTTTCATGACAGAGTTGATGAAGACAGTCTGCTACATGCTGACATGCAAACTTATAAGAAGGAGACTGGCCTAGATTACATCTTATTAAATTGCACCTTTAAAGTATTTCTATTATTTTTACCTTATTATTACTATTAAAAATACTATTATTATAGTTATTATTATTTTAATATCTCTGAAAAAATAAAATATAGACAATGTTTAAATGAAAATTTAATGTTTAAAAAAATTAATAACTAACTTGAAGAGATTCAATCAAAATTCAGCGAGTTGAATTCATTACTTTTACTTTTCTAATCGAATTTTACATAGCTAAAAAAGTTAGTCGCACGACGACGCGAATATTTTCAAATATATTGCCAGAAAACAAAGTTTCGTGACGTAAAAAATGTAGGGTCCAGCTAAGTTTTTCTTTTGAGGTTACTGTGTGGAAAAAGTTTTCTAGATGATGCCGACAAATTTGTAAGCAACAAGAATGAAAAAATGATCATTGAAGCTGGGAGGTTGTTGATGGTTTTTACGTTTTTAGTTACTTAATTGGTTTGAAAGTGTCTCAAAGTGGTCGGTTGTTCGTTACGCGTTGATTTGGTGTGGAGGTAGGTCTCACGAGGTTTTTGTCTTACGTACCAAAATTTGTCCTACATACTAAAATTTGTCTTACATACAAAAATTTGTCTTACATACCAAAATTTGTCTTACATACCAAAATTTGTCATTAACGTTTTTGAGAACTTTTGAAAATTCGTATAACGATATATTGGCGATGTACTGTTCATAAAGATATCGGCGCTAATGTCGATATCTTTATGGACGATGTATCGCTATTTTCAAATACCGATATACCGTTTTGATTCACCGGTATCCACAAATACCGAAACGTCGTTTGCATTTCTGGTTGAGTGCGTGTTGATTGGTACATCTGAGACTTATTCAAGACTAAACTGATAATAATTGGTCATCGAGTTAACTAGCTCAGTCGGTAGGAGTGCCATGTATCGCACTGCTATCACGCGATGGCCTGGTTCGAATACTGGCTGTCCGAAACTCAAAGACCACCAAACTCGTCTTGTGGTGTGGTGTGGTTTGGATGGAGTACAACCTTAGTGGCACGATGGCTTAATTGCAGCAAGGATGCAACAATCTGCAAGCAACTTTCCAGTTGGCAGAGCTGCATTGCAAAAAATTATAATGAATTAACATTAGTAATAATTATTATTATCAATAATAATAATAATTATTGATCAATAATAATTATTTTGATAATTATTATTATTATCAATAATAATAATTATTATTGTTGTTAATAAGGACTCCTACCCATTCGAGCCACCGTTCATACGGGTGATACAGCCCGTAATTAGTGCTGGGTACGTGCTGGCCGGTGGGGCAATTTGCATGGAGCTCCTTACTAAGCATGGTAGGCTGGTGTCTTTCCTCCCCTGTGTGTTTGGTGTTTTTTCTCTTGTTAGTGTTGTTGGTGCTTAGAGTTGTTACTTGGCGGTTTTAGAGTAGTGTTTTGTCGTTTTTCGTCGAGTTTGTTGTATGTATGTATGTCTGTGAATATGTTTGTTTGTTTGTTTGTTTGTTTGTTTGTTTGTTTGTTTGTTTGTTTGTATGTATGTATGTATGTATGTATGTATGTATGTATGCATGTATGTTGTATGTATGTATATACAACAATGTTGACGAACCAGGTTGGAGCAGTGCTTATGGCTTGGAGTCACTGGTTCTTCAAATAGCTGCCACCCTAGTAAAAGGAAAAGCCAGAATTCAATTTGGTGCTCCCAAAGTTAGTGGTGGTGTTGTCGATCAGTTTGATTTTTCCAGTCAATCCGAACCAGCCGAACAATCAATCGATTGATCTATCAGTTTATTCTGCTAATGAACTGTTGAACCAATAACCAACCAATCAGTCAATCAATCAGTCAACAAATCAATCAATCAACCAACTATTTACAACCAATTAATCAACCAACCAATCAAATCAACTATTCAACCAACCAATCACAAAACTAATCAATCCATCCATCAATCAACCAATCACCAAACCAATCTATCTCTATCAATCACAAAACCAATCAAACAATCAACCAATCACAGAACCAATGAACCATCCAATCAATCGCGACCAATCACAATTACAGAACCAATCAACCAACCAATCACAGAACCAACCAATCACAATCACAGAACCTATCAATCAATCAACCAACCAACCAATCACAGAACCAATCACAATCACAACCAACCACAACCAATCACAATCACAACCAATCACAATTGCAGGACCAATCAATCATTCTATCAACCAATCACAATCACAGAACCAATCAATTAATCAACCAACCAATCA